GCCTCCGCCCGGCGGCGCCTCCTGCGCCGGGCGGGAGCCGCTCGGGCTCTTCCCGCGTTGCTGCCGGCCGCGGGGAGCCCGGCCCGTGCTAGCACCGAGCCCGCCTCGGCGGGGCCAGAGGAGGCCGGCCGGCTCTTCCCTCCTTCCCTCCCTTCCCTCTCACCCCAAAGCGCGTTTCCCGGTTAACGGCCGGGCACCAACCCGGCCGGGATGTGTTTGTTGTTTCACACCTTGTACCGGGCGTTTCTGCGCTGCCTTCGCAAGTCCAACCTAGCCGGACTCCATCAGTTTAAGTAGATGTTGGATCAGGCCCATGGTTTTCAAAAGTGTTTCTTGGCAGTGTTTTATGCAGGAATGTAGCGTTTGGATAATGTAGGGAAGGGATGGCAGAGGACAAGATGAGGCCAAAGAAAGAGTTGTTATATTAAAAAGCAGTTTTGCTGTCATGAAAAGAAATTGCTTCTCTTAGTGTTTGTGATATTTTTATAGATTTTCCTTGATGAAAAAAACATTTAATATATTTGGATGCAAGAAAACGCTTTTTATTTTTTGGGAGAGGAAAGCTATGGCAGGCTTGTTTTTAGTTGTTGTTAATCAAAGCAATAATACAAATTACAGTAGTTTTGAATGTGTAGGTCAGAAATAGGTAACTGCTTTGTTGAAAAGGCCAGTGTCTTATGTCTTTCATTTATGAGGACAGAATTGGACAAAATCCATGTCTGAAATAAGAACACTAACATTTGGCTTTCTAGAAGGTTCTAAAGTCTAAAATGTCTTGCTGAGGCTTAGGAAGCTCTCCCTGCCCTTGCTGGGGATGGGAGCAGAGAGGACCTTTAACAGCAATTGACCAGATAAACTTTTTCATTTAGAGTAGCAGCAACAAAGGTTTGAACACCGTTCAAGTGCTTCTCAGAGCTCTAAATCTTATTAATTCCTGCATGAATGTATGCAAGGGGGAAGCAGAGCCTCTGTAAACCACCAAGTTCATGTGCATATGTTAATAAATAGAAATATGGCTTTGGGAAATTATGGATACGGCAGCGGAGAGCCGTCTGGGGGCCTGGCTGCCGCCCGTCCCGCTTCTGCAGCACCTCCTGGGCCGGCGCGTGCTGCTCCCGCCGGATCCTTGTGTCTCCATTGGGACTAACTGGAAAAATCCCAGTATTAACATTCCACACGCGTATCTCAGCATCTGCCATGCCTTTTAGCAGAGACTCTTTCTAAACAATTTGTTGTCATGTGGCCCTTATTTCTGAAATACATTTCCATCATTAATAATTGTTTAAAATATGGCTATTCCTGAAGACAACTCATCAACTTTGCTTCAATGGTTGCAATAATACAAATATAATAACTATCTGATTGCACTTCTGAAAATGCAGGTATAAGTTCATGTTCTTTGCTCAGTCACAGTTTTTTCAAAGTCTAGTAATTATTTTATCCTTTTTACTTCTTTAAAATGAAATGGCTGCCTTGTGTTTTTACAGATTGATTTGGATACTATTGATGTCAGCAATCTCAATAGGCAGTTTTTATTTCAAAAGAAACATGTTGGAAGATCAAAATCACAGGTGAGAAAAAAATTGAAGTCTTTCTTATTCAGTACTATTATTTCATGGTCAGTGTTAGAAATATGTTAAAACTGTGTTTGTATATGCTCCTGCTTACAATATTTTTGTCTTCTATTAGAAGAGTTGCTAAAGTAAATGTTGGGCTCATGGCTACCCGCTTCTTTCAAATGTATTGAAAGCTCTAATATGCTAATAAACTAGAGCTTTCTTAGCTTAAAAAAAGAAAGAATAAGCACATTTTTGTTCTTTTTTTTTTCTCATTTCTAGGTTGCCAAGGAAAGCGTCTTACAGTTTTATCCAGAAGCTAATATTATAGCTTATCATGATAGCATCATGAAGTATGTTTATTTTTAAGCTCTAATTATGTGTTTTGATTTGCAAATACTGGGTTATTTAAATACTACAATGTAAATGTAAGACTACCATACACCTGGGAGGGAATATGGACTTTGCATGAATTTTCTTATGCTTTGTTAGGGAGCTGAAGTTACTTGTTGTGTCAAATTTCCCCTTTATTAACAACAGTTTATATAGAAGTTTTTACAGTGTAAGGATGCCCAGATATTGGTTATTTAATCAATAATTAAATGAAAATAAAGGGGAATATTGAGTCCATGATCTGTGTTTCTGAGTATCTTTTATATAAATCCCAGACTGCTAAAGCCTAGTTAATGTCATACTAATCCATAGTAAGTTAGTAAAACAAAATCACACAGTTTCTCATTAGCTTTGATAATTTATTTTCTGCTTTTCCCCTTTTTAAGAAAGTCATACTCTTTTAGCACTAAGGCTCAAGGTCTGATGTTGCTGTTTTGCAACGTAAAATGCAACATAAAATGTGAAATTGTCGATATGCTAATATCCCGTGCCTTGTCTTGTAAGTATATAGAGACACAATCAAAATCAATTGAACTGTTGCAGCATAATGAGTTATGAGCAGTGTGATGAGCTGTGGTAATTACAGTGTGAACTTTTTAGCCTCAGCCAATGATTTTTATGATAAGTTATCGACGCTTGTTCAATAGGTTGACTAGGTCAAAACAGTATAATCAGTTTTTCTTTTTTGCCTTTTTTCTTGGTCAAATTAATACAAATTGAAGTAGCTCCTTTTCAGTAGCATAAAATCCATGCTTTTGCACAGCTTTAAAATGTTTAGAAGGCAAATGGAGTAAATGAAGTCTAGCAGGAAACCTACAATATGTGCAATGTATCACTTGAATGTCAATCCGCTTTTGAATGCAGGTAGTTTCAGTTGTGGCCTAATTAACAAATCTCATATGCTATTTTAAATACTGTTTTTCTTTTCTGTAGCCCTGACTATAATGTAGAGTTCTTCCGCCAGTTTACATTGGTTATGAATGCTCTGGATAACAGAGGTGAATTTTTCCCTATACTTTTATATTTGAAATTAAAATACTATTGCTACTTCTGAAATGTCAGTTAAGTGAGATATTAACCTATTAACCTCTAGATATTTTGACTAATACTTGTGTGCGTTGCTATAAACTTTAAAGTCTAGTCAGTGCTTTTACAAAATAAACATTAATTTTGATGTTATCCTTTTATAGGAAGTATTATAAGTACATATATACATTTTCAGTTGAACTTGCTGTATTTAATAGTGTCATTTTATTATGTATTAATTGCAAGATGGGCTAAGTTAAAACGACGTAGTTCTATATATAATGAAGTGAGGCAGATTCCAGATAAATACTTGCATGAGAAGCTAGTTTGAGTCATGTGAAGTCAAATATTTTTCTATTTATTTAAAATTTTCTATTTAATTAAAAAACTATTTTTTAAAAACACTTTCCTTTGCAGCTGCCCGTAACCATGTGAACAGGATGTGTCTGGCTGCTGATGTTCCCCTTATAGAGAGCGGAACCGCAGGCTACCTTGGACAAGTAACAGTTATTAAAAAGGTTAGGTTGTTTTTCACTCTGTCACTTTAAGTTTAAATCACTGGGTATTTTAGGCAGCCAGGTGCTGGGTATTTTGGGATACACTTCTACTTCATCTGATAATAACATATACTATGAGTAGCCTCCACAGTGTGGCAAATAAATATTTTACTTTTCCCCAGGGAGTGACAGAATGTTATGAATGTCATCCTAAACCAACTCAGAAGACCTTTCCAGGCTGCACAATCCGCAATACACCATCAGAGCCCATCCATTGCATTGTGTGGGCTAAGTATTTGTTCAAGTAAGTTGTTTTTTTTAAAGAAAATAGTTACTGTGATTTTTTTTTTTATTGGATGCCTATAGTCTGAGAAACAAAATGAACACTTTTTTTTTCAAATTAATGTGAATTATTGAGAAATCTTTTTGTTGTTTCATCCATGTGTTTGATATAAAGGTAACATGTCTGTTAGTACTGAGGGCTTGTTCTACTATCACAGAAAATGTGGCAGAAAAAATTGGTACAGCAGTCTGGGTTGCTAAGAACTTACTTTATCCTTCACTTATTTCCTGTAAAATTAACACATTTGTAAGTAAGTATTCTATCCACAATTATAAAATTTGCTAAGATTTTACTGAGGGGATATAGGCAATTCATTCAGTACTGCAATATAAATGCAAAGCTAAATGAACTGTTGAATAAGTTATATGAAACTTTTACCTAATTTTTATATGTTTTTTGTGTTGTCAGTATTAAATCTATATGTGGTGAATTTCAATGTGAAGTGGTGCTTTAATAAGAATTCTCAAGTGGATGCACATCAGTTATGGAATATTTTAGTGATTAATTAGATATGATGAAAACCAAGTGCTATGTTTCTATTTTTAATTATCATATAGCCAGCTCTTTGGAGAAGAAGATGCTGATCAAGAAGTCTCGCCTGACAGAGCTGATCCTGAAGCTGCCTGTGAGTGTGATATAAACTGGTAGCTTGCCTAAGTACTTCCGAATTACTAAAGGTTCTATTTCAGAAATAGTGACTTGTGTCCATTCCATTTCTTAAAGTCAAATTTGGACAGTTAAGCTCTCTTTTCTTCTAAGAGGATTCTTCAAGTGCCTGTGCGCTGTCTGAGTTTGGGATGTGTTAACAGTACTTTTCCTTACAGACCTTCTTGTTCAGGTAATTCAGTGCCTGCTTACTAGCACTTAAAATGTAAAACAAATCCAGTGTTTTTTGGATTCCTTGATATGTAGACTGTCAGAGATCTTTAATGTGTGGTTAGTGTGCAAAAATACTTTATAATGGCCACTGGTTTAGTTGTCTGTTTTCAGAACTGTGGTTGTGTGGGGAGCCTGAAAATTAATAAAATGATTTGTTCAGCTGTTGTGAAAACATTTTTACTACAGTGTAATGCAGGTCATTGGCATTTATTAGTTTTGTCAGAGGTAATCTGGGTAGAGCAGCTGTGAGGAACAGTTATATTACTACTAATTATAAAGTTTGGATTAACACATCCAAGTCTAAATTATTTGATTTAGATAAAGAGGCTTTCACTGTATATTCAGAGACTCCTGTTGCATGTAGAGCAACTTTCTTCACTGTGTGCAAAGAAACTTAAAGTGCAAAGGGAGCTGGAAGTGAAAATGAAATATATGGATCTGCATGGAGTGGAGATCCATTATACTTGGATGAGAGGGAGTGAGTGCTTCCTTCTATGCAGCTGGGAATCTTGTCCTTTGAACTGAGGACAGAGAACTAAGTGGTATTTGTAGCGCTCTTCCATTTTTAACTCCTAACTGAGGTATTGCAAGGAAATACAGGGATAATGTGTGAACTCTCTTGGACTGAAATACTTCCATGTTCAGGAAATATGCTAATTTTTAGTTGTGTTTTTGAAGCTGTCATATATCTTTTGTAATGTCAATAACTGTAGTTACTGCAAAAGTGAATAAGTATCTTCTGCTTCTCCTTCTGGATCTTTGATAGGTAAGTAAGTTTGAGAGAGGAAGGTTAGGGGATCCTCTGAGCAGCAGACATCCACCTACCAGTATTTCTGCAGGAAGTTCAGGGTGAAATAACTGAACCTTGCCAGAGTGGCACATAACAAAGTTATAACAATTGTTGCTGGAAGACTTTAAGACAGCAGATACTATGCTACTTTTTTTAAGGAGGTATTCCAGGGAAATCCCAGGAACTGAGCTGTAGGCTGATCTCTGTACTGAGCAGCAGCAGGTTGTAATGTGGGTTACATGCAGTGGGTAGCAGTGGCGTGTTAGGGAAGGGTCAACACAATATTGTGTTACAGCCTGTGAACAGATTCATTCTTATGTGGATGAAATACTTAAGTGGTAATGTAATGTTTGTTAATTCTAGGGCAAATATATGATTGTGGATTTGTGGTTTTGTTTGTTGTTTTTTTAATTAAAATACTTGGTTCACACTCTATTAATAGGGGAACCAGCAGAAGCAGAAGCCAGAGCACGAGCATCCAATGAAGATGGTGAGATTAAACGTGTTTCAACTAAGGAGTGGGCTAAATCAACTGGATATGATCCAGTTAAGCTTTTTACTAAGGTATCATTTTTCCCCCCAATAAATGTCTATATTCAAAGTGTGTGAACTGCTTTAAAGTTAACTCAAAACACATTTTATAAGTTTACTGCTAGCCATTGATTATGCAATTATGTCATTACTTCCACCAGTTTTGCTCGTGCTGATATTAACCACACTTGGCTGTTTTGCGATGTTCAATCTACCTCTGTGTTACTGCTGCAGCAGCTGGTTCCGTATTGTACACAGAAACATTCATTTGAATTATTTTTAATATAAAAAAAAATCAAACTGTGAATCCTGTAGGGTCTTCACTGTGCCTAATCACACCCCAGTCTGAGGTAGAAACAGCTGTCATCCACCTCCAGCATATAATCAGACCTTGGCATAAAGAAATACAAACTGGTTTAGGAGTTTTTCTTCTGAAAAGCTGCCAGAAGGGGGTGAACAGGAAACGAGTATGAGAGTATGAGTATGTATTGATTGGCAGTAATCATTTTCTTTGGAATTGGATTTGTTCATTAACATACAGAGAAGAATAACCCAGGGAGAATATTAAAATAGTTGCAGTGGTGGCTTCAGCAGGCAGATATACCTACTGCTCGGGTTATTGTCCCTTGACATACTTCACTTTTAAAGCAAAAAATCAACAGAGCTGTCTCCCTCGTGTGAAGCAATAACTGTTAGAGGATGGGAAATAAGAACTTTTTTGTAACTTTTCTTCTATGTAGTCTGGTTTATTTATGTGGCTGAAGATAAGAAGCAAAAACTTCAAAGTCTTATTTTCTTTCTTCCCTCTTTTTTTTTTTTTTTTTTTTTTTTTGATATTTCCCAGCTTTTCAAAGATGACATTAGATATCTGCTGACAATGGATAAGCTGTGGAGGAAGAGAAAGCCTCCAGTGCCTCTGGACTGGACTGAGGTCCAAAATCAAGGTAATTGTTCCCCTCACCTTGTATATCTGTAAGTCATACCTCTTGATAGTTAATGCACCTCTATGATAATGAATATTTTTTCACTGTCAAAGTTTGAGGACTGACAATAAATGTATTTACTTGATTGTGATTCCAGCATTTTTTTTTTCATTGGGAGATGCTTTTCCATACACACAAATGTATATACCAAGTTTGACTGAAAATTCACACTTGCTATAAATAGTGCATGTTCAAGCAACTGATGTGAGGATAGCTTTAAACTGCAATTTAAATGTAGATCTGCTGTAAAATATTGGGGCTACTGTTGTTCTAGGGCATTGTTTTTTGGTTTAGTAAACATTTAATTTTACTGAAACAGGAAAGTTTAGCACTTTAATACAACTTTTATCGGATTTCTAAATATTTCTGATCTCAATCTTTTTTTTTTTTTTCCCAAAGAGAAAAGTGTATCTGACCAACAAAATGAGTCCTCAGCAGTCTTGAAAGATCAGCAGGTTCTGGATGTAAAGAGCTATGCACACTTATTTTCCAAGAGTGTTGAAACCCTGAGACTTCACCTAGCTGAGAAGGGTGATGGAGCAGAACTTATATGGGATAAGGTTAGTTCCCCAAATACATAGGAATCACTTATATGCTACATATTTAGAATAAATATTATTTGGCTTGTAAGTTTCATTCCAAAATAGTACTACTTTGAAGAAAAATGGCATCTCATTGAAAACACTTTTTGTGTGTTTTGTATTTTGGTTTATACTAACCAGTATATAAAGTATACTAGTTTATACTTTGTACACTTTGTTTTATTACTCGTTTAATCTAAGGATTAAGTATTGAGGTGTAAGGTAATAACTTAATTCAAAAACTTGTAAAAGCCCAACTTCAGAAATAATCATCAACACAACACTGAAACTGCTTGAAAATATCATTTGATAGAGGCGGTGAATTAACATTGAACTGGATTTAAACATCTCTAAAGAGAGATGTATAAATAATACAGAGATGTGTAATAAGAGATGTATCTCTTTTTAAGATAATTTTAGAAACCATCTGTTGCATTTTTTTTTCCAATATGTAATTGATTTTAAATACTCTCGCATTAACTTCTTGTCAGGATGATCCATCTGCAATGGATTTTGTCACTTCTGCTGCAAATCTCAGGATGCATGTTTTCAGTATGAATATGAAGAGCAGATTTGACATCAAATGTAAGAATAAAATATACCATCACTTTAAATAGAAAGTTATCTAATTTTTCTAGTCTTCATTTACTGTTAAAAATTTGCATACTCTTGCTTATTTTGCAGCAATGGCAGGAAATATTATCCCAGCTATAGCTACTACTAATGCAGTAATAGCTGGTCTGATAGTGCTGGAGGGTTTGAAGATTTTATCAGGAAAAATAGATCAGTGTAGAACGGTAAGTGGGAATAAGATATTTTTATTTTGTTGTTATTCATTGTGTATTTAACAGTCATGCTTAACCTGCTTTGACTAGTGTGCAGTTCTATTCTCTGTCAGTTGTTGTTACCCCAGTAGATCCTGAATGTGCTGGGAAGTTTCAGTTGCAGTGGGAAGAGAAATGGAAATCCCAAGGATCCTGAAGTTCCTTCTCATCTCATGAAAATTGGCTGCTGGGTGGGAGGGAGAGAACCAGACTCTGACCCTGCTTGAAACACGACTGTTCCATGTTACGTGTCTGTTTGGCAATAGCTGCTCAGTGAGCACAGGTGTCATTGTGGGCTGGCCATAACGTGCACTTTCTCCTGCTCAACAGACATGTCAAAGAGGATTAGGGATGAGAACATCCTGTGAGACTAAGAATAAATCTCTAGGAAACCAAGTTTTGTTAGTGTTGTTGCTTAACGAATAACTTGTTTTCTTCTTCCTTCAAGATTTTTCTGAACAAGCAGCCAAATCCCAGAAAGAAGCTGTTGGTCCCTTGTGCTTTGGATCCACCAAATCCTAACTGTTATGTTTGTGCAAGTAAACCAGAAGTGACTGTGAAGCTTAATGTACACAAAGTTACTGTGTTAACGCTCCAAGATAAGGTAAATCTTATTAACTACAGCTTTTATTTTGATTGGAATGTACATGAATAAAGTTGTTTTGTTACATATATTATTCTCTGTACTTTGTTTATTTTTGTTCTGCAATTTTCATTTCTCTTAGCGAAAATAAAGCTAGATTAGTCAGTGCCCTTCTGACTCCTGTGTAAGAATGCTTGTATTTTGTAGTTCTTTGATATTTTAAAGCCTACTCGCATCTAACGACAAAAAGAAAAAGTATTTCAATTTAAAATTGCCACATTATAGGGTTGTAGTAAAAACTGAATTGTAATTTTATACTTTTTTTGGAAGTATCTCTTTTTTCAGTAAATGGTTGAACCTCTAAAAGAGAAATCACAGGGTTTTAAGATGGTTTCTGTGGTAGCTGGAACTGTGACTTCAAATTGCAAAAAGATAATTATTTTGTTTATGAGAATAAAAAAAAAGGTAATTTTATAGATTTTAGTAGATGCTTTAATGAATATGGGTCAGGATAGGGAAACCACCACTATTTAAGTTTTTTTCCTTCATAAGTAGTTTCAAGCAAGATAGTAACAATCATGTTCATCTTCTCAGATAGTGAAAGAAAAATTTGCTATGGTAGCACCAGATGTACAAATAGATGATGGAAAAGGAACTATCCTTATCTCTTCAGAAGAAGGAGAAACAGAAGGTATGCATATTAATGCTTTTAAATAAGAATAAATATAAATTAGAAATAGTATCTAAGTAATGCAGAATGTAATTATAGCATATTTTTAAGTGTACATTCTGTGGAGTAATACTTGAAGAGAACTGGACCTGCATGTATGTAATTGGCTGGAGAATAACTGGTAGTATTGTCTACATGCCTAGAAGTAGTGTAGAGCTTTCCTGTATAAGGGGCTTTCACCTTGAGCATCAGAATTCCTTCGAGAGACAATACTCAGCTTTAGAAGTGCTCCCATTAGCTCCTCCTGTTTGTAAGCCCATTCCTTTTCTTGCTCTTAGATTCTTAAATTGGTTATTTTTAAAATGGACAATGACTGATGCTTGTAGACCCCATTGTAATACAAATATCTTCTCCAGAAAACATTCCTGAATGTAATAATGATGCTAAACATTACTAAATGTAAGGATGCACAAGAAGCAAATAAATCAAACATATAGATTTAAGTCTATGTAGGACTTAAATGTCACTTTTACCTTTAAATATGGGTAGTAAACAGTAATCTTTCTTCACATAAATTTCCGGAGTACTCATTTCATCAAATTTACTTTGGTGTAAAGGATAGTTTTGAATTTTAAAACTAAGTAAAATCTTAATATATAAACCCATTTGTACACAATATTCCACTTTTTTTTTTTTTTTTTTAGCAAATAATCATAGGAAATTATCAGACTTTGGAATTAGAAATGGCACTCGACTACAAGCAGATGATTTCCTCCAGGACTATACACTGTTAATCAATGTGCTTCATAGGTAAGGTTTCTGAAATAATTATGTGTATATTTTAAGTAGTTCTATCTGGAGTTTCCAAAACAGTGTATTAAATTCATGATATAAGTCAAAGATTAAGCTGTTGAAAGTAAATGTTGTATGCAGTGTTTAAGTGCCTTTTACTAGAATAGTAGTTGGAAAGAGTATATTTTATTTTGTTTAGTATGGTGATTGCACAAGGTAAAAATGCAATACAAAACTAAATTTTTGAGGCTGCCAACAAGTGAGAAACTGCAAAAGATTTAAACCAAACAAAGTCCAAAGAACCTTACTAAATAATAGATCACCTGTCTGACTACCTGTGACTAGATGCAACAATGTAAATAGAAATTACTTTAAAATAATTTCCCAGTGTTTTTAGTGATGGATAAGAGGTATACATATTATGTATAATAATTTTAACCCACAATGTTTCCAGGGAGAATAGGAATGTGAAACTGAGGAAGAAAAATAAGCTCACAAAATGATATATTTTATTTTTTTTTATTCCTTCTCCTAAGCATTTTAAGGCATGGCAGTGGGTGAAACTGTTTACAAATAGTCAAAGAATAATTTATGAAGGAGGACTGCGCAGATTGTCCTCATTTTTTTTTCTTTTTTTTTTTTTTTTTTTGTCAGAGTTGTAGGTTGCTTTAATAGTTGGGTGAAATATATTTTTCTGGAAAAAAAAATAGAGTATTTTAAAAATATGATTTTTTCCACAGTGAAGACCTAGAAAAAGATGTAGAATTTGAAGTTGTTGGTGATGCCCCTGAAAAAGTTGGCCCTAAACCTCCAGAACCAACACCCAGGAGCATAACCAATGGTAGCGATGATGGAGCACAACCGTCAACATCAACAGGTAAGTGATAGAAATGAATGAAAACAAATGAAATGCATCTTTCAGTAGTGTAGTCCAATTAAAATGTAAGTTGTCTTTAGTATTAGGACATAATTCTTTGTGCCAATATGAAGTGAAGAAGATCTAAATTATCTCTGTGTGTATATATGTACATGTATATGTATGCATATGTGTGCACACATGTATCATATTGGTATACAAATGTATGTATACACATATGTATTTTAACTACATAAAGGATAGTAAAATATAAATTTAAGATCGTTATAAAAGTTTACAGTAATAAGATTGTTATGAAGGTTTACAGTAATACAACTTGAAATGTTATTATTTATAAGTATCAGTGTTTGCTATTCATGAAAAATACTATCACCTTTCTAATACTGAATTTTTCTTTAAATCTATTTGGAATAGAACATTGATCCAATTTATTAAAATTAGATAAAAACTAATACTAGGAAACAGTATAAAATTAGTTTTTACACTGCATTTTATGTAAAAAGGAATAGAATTGATGAGATTTCTTGCAAGAGCCTATTTGACTATATTTTTCCCTCTTCTATACTCCCCATGCATATCCTTTAGCTCTTTTTATAAATCTGCTTCCCCTTCCACTGATATGCTTCTTCATGTGTGTGTGAGGAAATTTGGCTTCTGGTGCATATGTTAGTAGAAGGGAGTCTGCACTATGATTCTGTGTGTATAAAGGTTCTTTCCTCAGGGACTTCTGCAAGTAGGACACAATTCTTCTGTTTTAGCTGTGCAAAAAACATCTTGATAACTAATGCATTTTCACTTTCACTTCAGTTTAAGAGAGAGAAACATGTGAAAAGCCTATTTTATATACATTTCAGGGAAATTGAAAAGTATTATTGTATTTGAATGACAAAGGATGTGTATAATGAATGCTTCAAGATGTATTTGTTGTATTAGAGAAATCCTTATTTTTGTTTTGTGATATGAAATTTGAGTTGAGGATAAACTATCCCCACAGTATCCATTGGAATTAAAAATATGTATTTTGCAGCTGCAGATCAAGATGATCTATTGATTGTTGATTCTGATGATGAAGGTCCTTCAAGCAACATTGATGAGGATATGGAAAATAAAAGCCGCAAGAGAAAGCTAGAAGATAAAGAATGCGTCAGTACTAAGAGAGTGCGTACAGAGCAGACAGAAGAGCAAGATGAAATTATAGCATTAGACTGAACATGCAAGTGCCCCTTGACAAAATGATTCAGATAATGTCATACAGTAATAGCATGCTACGTTGGGGGTGTGAAAAATGTCAAGAACTAGACTAATTTTAAGACCTTTTTTCCAAGACAATATCAAGCCACTGACTTCAATAATTGGTGTTTGTTCCTGCTTTCATCTTGATAGACTCTTTTAGAAGTTTTTCCATATGGTATATTAAATGTAGTAGAAATATAGTCTATGAAAATTTACACATAAGTATTTGCATAAAAGGTCATGAGGAGAAAAAAAAGCATGTTATTTTTGTGTAAATACCTTTTAGGTATAATTTAATAGGACAAATAAAACTACCCTGGTTTAGTAAAGGGTTAACATCTGATATCCAAATGTATAAGTAACTTTTTTTTTGCTTGAGGAAAAGTATTTTAGTCTAGTCCTAACTGTCTTTCACACCCTGAACTCTAGTAAAAGACAAAATTCACAAAGCAAATTAGTGCCATGTTTGAACAGTGTTCTTAAACTTCAGTTGGCACTATGTACATTACTGTAAAACTGTTAATTTACTCAAGTTTTTCAGCTCGTACTGCCTGGTATGTCAGTGTAAGAAGCAAATTTTTGTGTATTGTTACAGTTTCAGGTTATTTATATTTGATGTTTTGTAAACTCAGATACTACTACTATACTGTACATCTGACGGACCAAATAAATGACATCTGAAATACTTGCTATATTTGCTTGCACAGTCCAAGTTCATGATGATCTATGGGATTTTACAATGTATAGCCTTCAAAAATTACTGTACTATCTCCATTTTTTAAAGCGTAACCTAGCAGTACAGAACTTAAGCTTCACTTGTTTAAGGTGAAAGGGGATTTTTTTAATAAAACTTTTGTGAATGTGTTTTTTTCCTGGACAATCAATTATTGGCCTCTTCAGCTGGAGCACTAACACCACGATGTGGAAAGGTTGTCAACACTTCATGCTTTTAGAGAGAGAAAGCACTTTTTATGTCTTTTATGTACTACACTAAGTGCCTAGAGCATAAGCGTTTATTTTTAGGAACAATATCTTTGCTGCATTTTTGTAAATATGTTGGAAGCTGTTGAAATTGTCAGTGTCAAATCCTAGAATATTCATCCTAACTATTGACACCATGCTAAAATGACTTGCCAACTATGGTGTATCCATGAACCAGACCTTCTATTTAACATGTAAGCAGATACTGAGCAGATGAGATTTATTCTACATCAGTTTACAAAATGCCTGAGTTTTAAACAAAACATTAATAATGGAGAAAGGATTTTTTAGAAAATTCTTTAAATTATATTTCTGCATCTGGTTCTGTCTCAAAGGGCACTTTTTAATTAGTATTAATTTATCCACAAGGTGCAGAATCGTAGGATTCTATAATGCAATTAATGTTCTGTCTCTTCTTTTAGGTCATAATAGTCACATGCAGTGGCTTGTCTGCAGACATAAACCTCCCTCCTGTGAAACTGTAGAGCCTTTTGGGTTAGTTGCTTCTTGGAAACAGTCAGTGAAGACAGGTAAAGATGTAAATGAGAGGAATAAAAATATTTTTGACATTATAGGGAGTTGTTATACTTTTCTCCCTAACCAACTAAAGAACTAGAATTTTATACATCTCGGATAGCACTAAAGTGACAGGTTGAGATAACTGGCGTTTTCTTTTAAGCATTATTAGAAATCAAGCTTTATTGGTTTATAAAGCCAGTTGTCAAATGGCTTGTTAGCTGTGTGATGAAGTTTGTCAGGCCACAGTGAGGAGCAGGTGCCAGGTGCACTGTGTCTAAAATTCCATCTCACTTAGTACCTGACAAAATTTCCTACTTGCACAGGGCTCTTGAATGGAGTCTAGTTCAAGTAAAAGCTTTAATTCTGGTAACTTTATCAAATCAATTTAACTGATGTTGAGAATTGAAGACTTAGAAGCTGAATGGGATATAAGCTGCTTTCAAACAGTTATTCTCATAGTCAAACAGTTATTCTCAATTGTTTCAAACAGGTATTCTACAATAACATGCAGCACCAACAAATTTAGCTGAGAAAAAGATGAGAGTAAGAAGGGAAATTTTTATTCAGTCTTGTTGAATTCTACTTAAATTATCTAGTATTTAGACTATGTCAGTGCAAGATTACAGTTTCTCTGAGAATCTGGTAATACTCTGTAGGGACCATAGACAACCTCACTCTGTAAAACAGAGTCTTTTACAGAGTCTTGACTCTGTGTACAAAGAAAAAAAGAAAAAAAAAAAAAAAATGATGGATTGCAGGACTGCTGAGTAGTAACCAAGCATTGTATCTTGAATGTGAGGGGCCACTGCAGGGCACTGATTAGTTAGATTAGATTTGAGCAGCATAGAATTTAAACTATGTGTCATCTGGTTTGTAGCATGAAAGGTAGCCCAGAATTTAATTACATAAGGCAGTACCTGTTGATGTACTTAGGAAATATAATTGTGCTGCCTTTGTTTCTTTAGGAAATACTTAGATTGATAGAAGTGCTCCAGATCCTTTCTGTAAAAAGTTTTGGAGTGAGACAGTTTTTAATACATCTTCTTTAAATAGGCTTCTTCTATGGAACATACGACGGGGGCTCATTTAAAGTCAGCTCTTTAGTTAAATTCTTACAAAGTTTGGCAATATTGAGTGAATCAGCAAAACGCTAACTACCCCTGTTAAATGAAAAGCTGCTTCTCAAAACTGATGGAAGTATCAGGATCCCTAAGTGCCTACTAGTCACCAATCAATTTACGCTTTCTCTTGTCCTTGAGAGCAGATTATAAATGGAAGCACTTAATAAGCTTTCAAGTAATGAAAATGTATTATCTGTCTTTGTATGCTATTAGTTCGGTATGCCTTTTCTGCACTGAGGCATGGACCACAGCACAGCAGTTAGCTAGAGACAGTGAAGAAATTTGTGAGGACTTTCAAACAAACTTACAGTAAGTAAAAAAAAACTTTCCACAAAAAAACACAACCTATCTGATTCTCAAAACAGACAATCATCTGAGTACAGTACTTGTTCCTTCAAGATGTACTTAAAAACTATTGCAGTCGGGGAAAAGCTGCTGGGGCCATCACATGGCAGCTTTGTATCAGCCTGTTTCTCAAAAAAAAACTGTAACCTGTAGCTAGTTGTGGTACTTGTAGTAGTGCTTTGTGCCGTTTTAATTTTGCCTTATGAAGCCATTTCAGCGCTGAACCGCACGGAGATGTGCATGTTTTCCTAGGCTGTTGGCTCTGACAGCTGGCAAGCAGCTTGATGTGCTGTTTCAAGTCGTGACCTTTACACAAAGACCTCTTGCTAAGCATTTATTAGATCGCAGAAGGTAAAGTAAGGTTGTGTCCAGTTGGTATTTACCATTGATAGTGTCTGTTTTGAGCCTTATCTCTACTACTCCAAAGTTGTAAATCTGGATTAAAACACTGATCACAGCAGTGAACAGCTTGGGCGTACATTGTCTGTCTAACGTTTACAAAGTGGCTGTCATAACAGGAATTTTACAGGGTCTGTCTCTGGCTATATTCGTGCAGCATGATAAATAGCTGCATTTGCAATGAGCTATTATGGGAATAAGAAGAATGTTAAAAATGTTAAATAGTGGTTTATTGCAGATTTAGCATGAGAAATGATCTACTAGCTTATAGAGCACTTTGTCAAAAATATTTTAAATAGTTTTGCCTAGTAGTCAAAAGGTAGCCATTTGAATACAATGTGTTCTTTCTACCAGAAGGTGGTGCCCTAAAACACATTCAGTATTCCAATTTTTTAAAGCTGTGATATCTGAAAATGAATATTTAAAAAGATATATTGGAACAAGGTGAAAGTCTCCAAAATTAAGTAGTGAAGTCTCTGTGATGCTTGAACTCTCATTTGTAGTCCAAAATAATAGGATATAAGAAATACAATTTTTTTTCTTGGTTCAAAACAGACAAAGGAAAAGGAATAACCATTACAAGAAACATTACCAAGAAACTGATCAAATTAAAAATATGAAAACTAGGGCAGTAAAAACATAAATAATCTGAACTCTAGCATATAATTTAATTGTTTTCTCAGTGCTAGAGAGGAAAAGGAGGGAAGATGGAAAAAAAAGTATCCAATTTGATAAGCGAATTGTGAAGTAGCTTCATGATGTTCTAGTCATAACATTGATAACAAAACTGCTGTTAATTGTGCCAGTAAAAACAGGTATAATTTAAAATGCACTACAAGAAGCCAGAAGGATTTTTGTCGTTGCTTTCCACGGGACCAAAGTTGCGCTAGTGAATTATTGTATTTTCAGATTCTCTGCTTTGCTGTTAATGAACTATTTGCAGCTCAGGGAGACAAAATCCCCAGGCAGCCTGTCAATTCTCCCTACAAGCTGGCACGACCAGAGTTTCCTTGAAGGCTCTGGCAATTAGAAGAAACAGGAGTCCGCTGACTGTGAGGCCCAGCCGGCTGATATTCACAGATCAATAACTCCACCTGGCTTTTTTGCTCCCTTTAAGTCTTAGACAAAGGAGTTTATTTAACAGAAGCAGCTGCCTTTCCTTAATATCTGATTTACTGATATAACTTCAAATCAGGCACAAGGATTAACACACCAAATTACAAAATGAATTTCAGCTTTTATAATACTGTCAGGTGGCTCTATGACAGCTATTGAAGAGGAGTTTCCTTTGTGTAAGAAGGAGTTTTTACAATACACGTGCTTTGCTGCTGGTTGTTTAAATGAACTAAATATATTTTAAATACCGTTGAAAGGAAAATATGCAGTATTGTCAAACTGCAATTGGTACTTTTATATATATATATATGTATATGTACATATATATATCAGGAAGGAGAATGATGAGGGTACTTAGAGCAGCAACAGCAGTTTTAACTCTAAACTTCATGTTTGCATAGCCTGGTACATATGGTCCTCTGTGAAAAATGCAGCAGTGCTCAAGTGTGTTACGTACTACCGCAAACATATTTATATTACCCACGTGGGCTACATCTGGGGCTGCAGTGTGGATCAATGTTATGTTCATTATGTGCATGACAAAGTACGATTTACTGGTGAAGAGCTGGTTTGTAGTGTTGCTCTGATGTAGGGCTTAGACAGGAACATTGTGCAGGAACATACGGGCCCTGGGCTGCAGTGGGTTTGTCTGTGCCTTGCTTTGAGGATTTACTTACTGAGCATAAGCTGTCAACAGTAACAGTAAGTGATTCTTAATCATTTGATCCATGTTGCTTACTAAAACGGGCTGTTTCTTCAGATTCCCCAGATTCTCTTGGTCGCCAGCATGTTTTTTTTTTTCCATGAGTTCATCCTAAAGAAAGCAGATGCTTTAACTACTTACGTACCAAGAGGCTTAATGTACAAACTTGCTGCCTAGGCCTGACTGGCAGCTCAGGAGCGTGCTTGGCGGCCGTGCACTTGCATGGGGCTGTGTGGCAGTAACTAGTGCTTGGTGCTGTCTGGGTGAGCATTGCAACACGTTTGCTGGGATGCCTTTGCCGCTGACGCCCACGGCCTGCATCGTGCTGGTCACTCACGAGGAGTACCAGGGCAAGAGGCACTTCCAATGCTTGCAAGCTCAAGATGGAACCTAATCTGTGGAGTGGTAACCTCCACCCCCACAAAGCAACAGCGGGCTTAGGAGACTAGCAAAACTTGAAAGGAGTGTATTAGAAATGTAAAAACAGAGCAGAGCTTGACTTCAGGAGCTGCATTTGCAAACACAGCTCCTTAGCAAAGCACCTCACAGGGGTGAGGTGCCTGTGCGCTGTCTCACCAGTGTGCTTTGCAGGTCTTGTGGGTGTATTCCCAGGTTTGCTTTTTTTTTCTTAGTCTGCTTCCCTGCCCCGCACACAAATAGATTGCCAGTTGATTGCCCTCCACAGCTGGGGACATTCTTAAATACAGAGTTGCTTTTAATGTTTAATTAGGTATGATAAAACGTTCTTGGCAGCGCGGCTGGCACTCCTCCCCTGGCGGGCTGCTGCGCGGCCTCGCTCAGGTAGCTGTGGCCAAGGCTACATCAGCGCAGGTGGCAGCGCGGGCCACCGAGGGGACCCGCGGCCGAGCTGGGACGGCCGCTGAACGTCTCGTCTCGGCGACTGCCTTGGAGGTGTTTTCTGACATTATATACACATCGAAAGGGCGAGCAGCGCTGCGCTTGCCTCAGGACCGCCCGACGGAGCCTTGGGAAGGCAGCACAAACAGCAGCCGCATCTCCCCACTCCCCTTGACCCCGGTGTGGCTCTGGGCACGTTGGCCCCATCAGCGCCGCTCTCTAACGGCCCCCTGGCCGCGGCGGAGCGTGGTCGGGACCCCGCAGCTCAGGCCAGCAGGTGCCGCCCCCCCCCCCGCCCTTCGGCGCCGCGCGCGCCGTTGAGCGGCGGCCGCTCAGGTGAGGCGACCGTTTAACGGTCGCGGGCGGGGCGCCCCCCGCCCCCCCGAGGAAAGTTCCAGCAGGCGGTGGGGGGGAGGGTCCCGACCAGGGTCCCGCGGCGGCCGCTCCCCGCGCTCGCCTCCCCCCTCTCCACGGCGGCCCCGAGAGAAGCCGCGCGGCCGCCGCCGCTCCGCGGATGCTCGCGCTGTCTGCGGGCTCCGCCGCGCCGCCCGCGGGAGGCCGGTCCCCGCCGGAGGCGGCCCGGCCCCGGGAGGCGGGGGCGCGGCGGCGGGGGGCGGCCCGCTGGCGAGCAGCGCCTCGGCCGCCCGCTCCCGGCCTGACTCGGTGAGAATCATTGTTTGGCTCCAGCATTAGCTACATTCCAGCGGGACGCAGCGCCCCGTCTCCTTCCTCGCATTCCTGCCCCACACAAAGGAGTCCCCGCCGCGCCGCTCGTCCGGCCGCCGCGCCCGCCCCGCCGCCGCCCGCCGCCTTCGCCCCCCGCCCGCGGGCGCCGGCCTGGCCGCAGCCCCGGCCCCAGCTCCGGCCCCGGCCTCGGCGCGGGGCGGCGGGCCAGGGGCGGCGGGGGCAGGGAGCCGCCGAGCGCAAATTCCTCCGCGCAGCGCGCCATTGACTGGACCCAGCAACTTATTTAAGGCTGGAAAGTGACACGGGGGCTCCTCGTCTGCGCCCGCCTCGCTGCCGCGATGCCGCCGAGGTGACTGCGCGCTGCGCCGCCGGGGCCGCGAGAGAGCGAGCGAGGGACGGCGCCGTCCCGCCGGGGCCGCGCGGGGAGCGCTGCTTTTTTTGCCCCCTCCCCCCTTTTTTTTTCCCCCTCTTTCCTTTCTCGTTTTACTTTTTCCTGCGGCGGCCGAGCATGGAGCAGTACGAGGAGGACGTGGCCCTGCGCGCCGGGCGGCTGCTGGAGGACCTGTCCCTGTACGAGGCGTGCGCCGAGGGCGCGTTCGGCCGCGCCGCCCGCCGCGAGCCGCCGCCCGCCGAGCCCGAGGAGCCGCCGCGGGCCCGCAGGAGCAACGGCGCTGCGCCGCCCGCCGACGGCAGAGCCTTCGCGGGGCCGCCCTGCTGCGACGAGGGGCTCTGCACGCGCTCCGAGGTGGCGCTGCCCTGCTACAGCGGCTTCGCTGACAAGGGCAAGCGCTACTCGGCCGAGGGCTACCGCTGCAGCGGCGCCTACGAGCCCGGCTACGTGGCCAAGGGCGGCGGGCGGGCGCCCGATGGCAAGTACGGCGCGGCCAGCCCGCGGGGCAGCCTGGCGGCCGCCGCGCCCGCCGCCGAGCACGGCAAGTTCCCCAGCCCGCGCTGCAGCCTGGGCGCCGCCGCGCCGCCCTACGACAAGTTCGGCAGCCCCCGCGGCAGCCTCGCCGTGCCCGGCCAGGACAAGTTCGGCAGCCCTCGCGGCAGCCTAGCGCAGTACGACGGCGCCGCGCTGAGCCCGCGCTCCAGCTACGCCAGCACGGCCAGCGACACGAGCAAGCACTCCAGCCCGCGCGCCAGCCTCACGAGCTACGACGGCGGCAGCAAGCCCAGCAGCAACCGCACGAGCGGCATCAGCATGGGCTACGATCAGCGGCACGCCAGCCCGCGCTCCAGCACGGCCAGCCAGTACTCGGGCACCGCCAGCCCGCGCTCTAGCTACTCGGACTGCAGGTACGGCCCGCCGGGCAGCGCGGACCCGGACGGGGCGGGCGCCGCCGGGCTGCGCCTGGCCAGCCCGCGCTCCAGCGTGTGCGGCGCCGCCGTGGCCAGCCCGCGCTCCAGCATCTCCAGCCAGAGCTCGCGCAGCTCGCGGGGCTCCATGAGCGCCTACCCCGAGCTGCAGCTGCCCTCGCCACGCGCCTCCCTGCTCGCGCCCGGCCTGCAGGACGACGGCGCCGTGCCGGAGCCGGCCGACCTCTACCACGGCACCCGCGGGCAGTCCCCGCCGCGGCCGCAGCAGCACCCGGCGGCGCCGGGCCCCGACGCGGCGCCCCCCTACTCATACAGCCCGACCAAAGGCTCCGCTTCGGCTCCAAAATTCAAGCTTCCCTGCCAGGTGACGCCGTGCCGGGACAGCGGCCCCAGCCAGGCGGAGCGGCGGCTGGAAGCGCTGACGCTGGAGCTGGAGAAGGAGCTGGAGATGCACATGAAGAAGGAGTATTTCGGTGAGTGGCGCTTGCGGGGCACTCAGGGCCGAGCCTGCGCAGGCGCTGAGCGGCCGCGGGAGGCTCCGGCCGTCGGTGGAGCAGCCGCATCGCTGCGGGCCCGACTCCTCGCGGCCTCTGTCAGAGGCCTTTGCGCTGAGAGTCTTCCCCGGTATTTCTCTCTCCTGCCTCGTGCTTGCAGTTCACTAGGACTTGTAGTGGTTAGTCCCCATCCACATGCAATAAGAAACTCGTCTGCAGCAGAGCAGAAGCCATTTGTGTGGGTAGTCAGGTAGTGCTTGCGAACTATAACCTGTCAGAGCCTCTTCAATACCCTCTGGCATTCTCAAGGCTGCAGTGTTTTCCATTGTGTTCTCTGGGTAGCTACAATATTCTAACTTCTGTAGACAAGGTGAACAGGTAAAACAAATTTCAGTGCCTAGTTCAATACAATCTTTGACCTCACTCAGAGTGCTTGTGGGAGCCTTTAACATTTTCTGGCCTGTGGGCCTTGCAGAGTTTCTTGTTTGAGGGAGAGGACACCTCTGCCTGGTCCTTGTGAAGCTGAGCCGGCCTGTTGGGGGAGTCTCCTTAACTTCTTTATTGCTTCTTTGTCAAACAAAAACAAGAGCTTGAAACAAGCAAGCATGTTTTCTAGCCACACTGTTTAGATTAAACTCTCCCCTTTTTATTTTTTTTTTAATTTTATTTTCTTCCCTCCTCTAGTAGATGGCTAAGGACAAGATGCCTGTCTTAGAATCCCTAAGTGTCCAAATGCCATCCTGTTCCTCGTAGGTACTGCAACCTTAAGGGTACATCTGTAGAGAGCTAGGGCAGCAGGAGCGTGGTGGCCTTCAGAAGTGGCTTGTGTCTGCTTATGCTGGGATGTGGATTCTGAGGGCACTTCATAGCAGGAGAGTAAGATGGAAGGAATGGAAGGACAAGGAGACGCAGGGATATGTCAGTCTCCTGCTTGTCCCTACTGTGACTCAGTGGAACAAAATGTGGCCTAGGAGGGGGGGGACAGTTAGGACTCCCAGCCTGTGTGTGCTGGCTGGGTGCTGAGAGGATAGAGGCCTCGCTGGTGGGCTGTGATCTTTGGCTGACACAGGTGTTGCTGAGGATGGAGATGCATGTGAACTTAGTTTATTAAAGGATTGCAGGTCATTTTCAGTTCAGTATTAGTGTTTCCTCTGTGGAAGGGAGGAATTGCAAGGTCCCTCTCTAAACATCGTCCGAGGCAGTTGAGTAAGTACTCTGTAGTACCAGGTAAACGTTTGTTTTTAACTGCATAGATTGTTTTTATAAGCCCTTGTGCCCAAAGGAAGCTGAATCCAATGCCTGCTTAATGCCTGATTCTTATCTACCTTTTGGTTAGTGTGAGCCTGGACAAGAAAGCTGATTGGCACCAGCTGTATCTTCTGCAATGCCTAGCACCTGTTTTGAGGCTGTAGGGAGCTGCAGGAACATAATCAGCTGAAGATGATAACAAATAACCCCTAAGTGTCTGCAGAAGCTGCTTGGGGGTGTTAATTATCGGGTACCAAAGACATGTGTGACTCCTAAATGCCAGGGGGGGTGCAATGAAAGGTGGAGAATCAAGATATATTTAGAGCAAGAAGAGTGAGTTATAACTGCCCTGGGCCCCTGGGAGGGTGCATTGAGGAGGCCTGGGTGTGACTGGGAGCTCCAGGAGGAGCCTTGCAAGGGTGTGTTGTGCATGGCAGTCTTCTGACTCCACTGTTTTATTTTTTAAGGATTTGCCTGTTGTAAGTGTCACTGCCTGCAAGTATATTCTGTGATGACTTGTTGCAACATGCCCTAAGCCTGAGCAGATGTGGTGTGTGTGTCAGATGAGCAGCAGTAGGTGCCTAGAGAGCCAGCGCAGCTGCCCTGGAGGAATTTGTTACTTAGTGGCACAAAGAAGTGCTTCTGTGACTTCCCTGTAGCACTCACAGCCTAGAAAGCTGGGGGGCTGTAGGACAAGAATGATTTCTGCAAATTGCTCATGTTTTAATGAGTCTTGATGAGCTTGGTCCTGAGGTTCTGATTCAAGTCAGCTGCTGAGCTTTGATTATATAAGCCCAGTTTGACTGCAGACAGAAGGGTTAAAGACAAGGAGAATGAGAAGAGAAGGGAGAGAAGTCTGCTTATGAAGCAAATTATTTAGACTGACTTTTCTGAGAGGGTTTTAGCACAGCCTTAATAAAGGAAAGCAAGTCCCAGCCATATGGCCTCGTCCCAACCAAACTGGGATTGTTCATATGGTGTCACTGCTTGGCTGTTGCCTCCCTTGGCACTTACCTGGCATGCTTAGAAGGCAGTTGCGTAGTGTCAGGTTGGAGCTGAGATACTTGCAGTTCCCCTGGAAAACAAAAACGTCGAGCCTAAGAGTCTAACAAAGTGGCATGAGCAGAGCAGATGGTTTAATGCTCCTTAATTAGATGAGAAGAATTGTTTAGTGAGTAAATGCTCATATTGTGACACTGCTAATTTTACCATGCCCACCCCCCACCCCAAACAATCCTGGCTTTGTCTGCTCGGAGGGAGGGCTACTCTACATGGGGCTGTTCCATTATGCTGTCCACAGGCCACTCTATTTTGTCGTATGTCCAAATGCAACTTTGAAAAATTGAACAGTGATTTATTTTGATTTTGAGGTCAAGTGACTAATCAGTCCTCTTTGGAAGAGGAATAACTCTCCTTTGCTTTCATTTTGTTTGCGGGTCTGTGTGTCTGGGTGTTCCCCTAACCACAGTAGTGCTGGCAATCCCTGGCTGCTTTCCCATACTTTGCTATTCCACTTCAGAAGAATTCTCTAATCTGTGGAGAAAAAAAAAGAAAAAAGCCCATGTTGCTGCTGCTGTTGCTGCAATTCTTGCCTTTCCCCTTTGCTTGTGTGGGTTCTCTGAGGAGATGTCCACAGCCTTCTTGGGAGTGAGGGGGGTTGGGCTTTCTGCATGCCACTTCCACTTGGGGAAGTCACCAAAATGCAGGTGACCACAAGCCATTAGAGTGAAGAAGAGGGGAGAAAAGGCATCCTGGATATGGCTTCTGCACTAAGTGAAAACACGAGAGTCCTGCTGCGAGTGCCTGCAGAGAAGGGGCGAGAGCTGCTCCTTCTGCAGTGCTTGCCAAGGAGTGGGAAGCAGGCTGTGTTCTTGCCCTTGGGGGCTGCCCCTAGGTGGGCAGCCTTCCAGAAGGTACCTAGGATCTTTGCTGCCACTCAGGGCCTCATGGCCCTCAGATAGATGGGATAGGTGCAGTAGTCCTCAGTACGTGACCTCAGAGGGGTCTCTGAGGGAGCCAGGGAGTGACAGATGCTGAGAAGCAATTGATTATTAAAAATTGATTATTAAAATATAATTTCATTCACTTTCATGTGTGTTCTCAGCTGGGCCTGCATGTGTGGTGGACTAAGCTGTCCATGTTGAATTTCATGGATGTTTTCAATTGGATGTACATCTTAGAGTGTCAACAAGATGTTTGTGGGTGTCAGAAACTCATCAGCTGAGGCTTTACTCACTTAAATTCTGTGGGCTTTGTGGAGCTCTTCAGTGTGATTTCCAGGTGCTGAAAAAGTCTGAGGCAGAAATGGATTGTTGGTATGCCCATTCAAATCCAAGCAGTGCTTTTGAGACAGCCTATAAACCTCCTGCTTGTTATTTACTTACCAGAGAATGCTGGAGAATGTCATGCTAATGTGGTGGTTGTTGTAGTCCAAGATCTATGTCCTATGGCTCCCCAGCAGCACTGTCAAAATTGAAGGAGTTGAGAAGGGGATGTATGCAGCAGTTACCTGCTTCTGTGCAGCCCCTGGGTGTATTGCCCTTGCCCCTGCCCATGCAGCCCTCATCCAAAGGCGGTTCTTTTCTGCTTCCAGTCAGGGTGCAGGGATACAGTGCAAGAAGTGATTAACTGTCTCACCAGCTTGACCTAAAGAGGAAATGAAAAAGGCATTGTGAAAGCGAGGAGGTGCAAGAGAGGAAATTGTTCTTGTGCAAAGTCTGAAAGGAGAGAAGCAGAGTTTGTGATTTTTCAGACATTAATACATTTGATGACATTAATGTAATGTGCAGTGTTCCTTTTAGTAAGAGTTTTTTCCTCAGCTCTTTTGGGCATCTAGTTTTGCCTTTTGCTGCATACTGCCTTGTCCTTGGTATCTCTCACTTTTTATCTCTGTGTAGAATATGAGTAGTACTTAACCTGGTCTTGTCACAATAATCTGTCAACCTTCTTTGTCTTCCAAAGGTACTTTCATGTGAGACTCTGCCATCCTGAGGAAGACGGGTCCTTTCTCAGTAGCCAGTAAGAGGTCTCAGTAAGCAAAGTAGAGGGTCATTTGATGTCTCAGGATGAGATACAAAGTCAAAATTCTGTTAATTGTAATAAACCGACTAGTAAACATGATTTTTCACTCAAGCAAGTAGCCTTGGGTTTCTAGATATCCTGGATCTTTCCAGAAGGCCACCCACTAGTACAAGCAAATGTTTTTGGAGCACCACCAGGAAACACTGCCAGTAACATCCTGTTGAAAAGTCCTTGGCCTGGTGGGTAGGTGAAGGGAGGAAGTAGACACCTAGACCCATCCAAACTCCTTTGTGTGCTTTATGTACGTAGTCATTCATGCAAATCTGTGTCTTTTGTATTGAGAAATTTTGCTGGCATGACAAGCCTGACTTTTGAGCCCTGGAATGTGCCTGCAAGATCAGTGCTGTATGTTCACGTCTGTCTTGTGAGATCTTGCTCTTGTAGGCGATAGGCGGGGGGCAGGTCACTGGATGTGGGTGCGTGTGTGAGTGCATCAGTGCTATGTGCATGATTGTAGAGCACAGCCCAACAGTGAGCAAAGGGCTACAATAGTGGCAAAAAGTGTGGTGCATGAGAAAGCTTGGAACGTGAAGATAGGAAGGAATAGGAGGGTGTGGGGTGAGAGAGGCAGTGATGCTGATGGAAAAGTGCTGCAAGTCAGCAGAGTGCTGTGGCTGTTGGAACTGAAGTCTTACTGCTGTCACATGGAA